TAGCAATCCCGGTTTTCTTTTCATTGTTTATTGTATTCCAGACTCGGTTTCGTGGATGATTGTTGTTGTTTGTATCGCATTTCCATCCTTTACGCTTTGTATTTGAGTTTTGGGTTGTGTTGGACAGGTTTAAAACAGGTTAATTGTGTTTAGAAACAAATAGTTTATGCCCAGATTTTTTGCCTCCACGCTCGAGCGGGCCCTTTTGCATTTGCTCCTTCGCTCGAGCGGGCAGTCTGACGCTCGAGCAGAGACCATCGTCTGTAAAACTTCTGGAAGTGTGTATTCCACGCTCGAGCGGCGCTTTCCACGCCTGAGCAGGAGTCTGTGTCTGACGCTCGAGCGGGGCGTTCCATGCTTGGGCGGGCTGTATTGTATATCAGTCCGAGATGAAGCTTTTGAAATCACTTTTTTCGGTCCTCTCTCTCTCTAAAGCATTCCAAAACCCTAATTTAAGAGCTTCTCTCTCTAGACTACATCTTCTTTCCACAAATACATCTAGTTCTAGTGATCTTCTACCCCAGTTCCTTTGTATAAAGTGTGGAGCTTGGCGTGATCTTCGTTTTGATCCGAAAAAGTTGGTGTTTGGAGCATCTTGGGTTTTCACCTTCTTCTCCTTTGAGCTCCGAAATTTGAAGTAGGGATAACTACTTATATTTATGGTCTTTGACATAAACATGTAGTCTTTTTGATTTAATGTTGAAGTTGGGAAATTTTGGGTGTTAAAGTTTCAAAACTTGAAATGTATAAAAAGGGGTTTTGTTCCTTTTGAACTATATATGTGTATATGGGTCTTAAAGTGAGGTTATTGATATTTATTATTAATATTTGGACCTTTGGGTCAATGTTGAGAAAAAAAGGAAAAATGCTTTAATTGGGTTTAATCGGGTCATTGATGTAATTAATGAAATTAATTATGAGAATGTGGAATTGGTTTGGAAATAATAAAATTGGGAAATTATGAGATAGAATAGTGGAGTTGGATTGATTAATCACTCACCTTTGAAGTTGTTGATAGTTTATCTGTTTGATGAATTTATTATCTGTTTAGAAATAATTGTCTTGGGCTATCGGTGGAGGATACTCTTGATTGTTGTAGACACTACATGATGATTAGGAGAATTAAAACTAATCAATTGAGTATGTCATTGAATATGACCGATGGAATAACACATTGACTATGTGCTTTGATTGATCATTGTATATGATAAGTGTTTAAATACATTGCATATGTATCTTGTTTGGGAGGAGATATGGGTTGTACTCCAAGGTTTGAGAGGAGATAAGGGATGCTCTCTCAAACCTGTTTGGGAGGAGATAGGGGATCGACTCCATTGATAACTAAGTTGGTCGGAGTGTCCAGGGTGAAAGTCCCGAAATCTTGATTACGTTTGCATAACGTAGATGAATGAAAGTATTTAAGTGTTAATGATATGAGTTGTAGTCTCATTTGAAATTGGAGTATTGAAATGTTAATGATGTGAGTTGTAGTCTCATTATAAACTGTTTGGATGAATAGAGAACCATATCTATGAATTGGTTTGGATAATGAAACGGAAAAGGATTGATATTTATATATCTGTGAATATGGATTGGTTATGAAAAAGATGTACGTCTGTTTATATGAGTTAAACATTTATCAAAAGCTAATATTTTAGTTATCGTTCATTTTATGTTTAGAATATCTCTACTGGGCGTTGGCTCACCCTATATGGGACATCATTTTCAGGTGCATGTAATATGCCGCCTCCAAGGATGTAGCTTGGGAGGTTGTAGAAGCTGAAGGCTTATTTTTGTGATTATCTTGTGTATTACATGTAGATTCAAGCCAATGGCTTAATGTGTTTAGAGTTAGAACTCTCTATTTTTGTAACCAAGTACTGGCTCGGAAAGTTATAAGTCCGTAGGGCATTTACTTTTGTTGTCAACATGTAATACTTTTGAACTAAATACTCTGATGAATGGAAATATGTTTTATTCTTTTATGTCTATGGATGTCTTGAATGATTGGTTTTTATGTATTATTTTGAGCGCGTTACACTGCTCGAGTGATCAAATAACTTTGACTTCAAGGACAGCGAAGTGGCAAACAAAGAATGCTCAAGATACGGAATATCAGTATAAACTCCTTTGCATAGGCACAATTTGTATTTTATTCGCATCTAAACACTCAAAGCCTCACTAAAACAAAAGAGCGAATAAACTTACAACTGAAAGGAGTTTTATCAAATGGGATTGCCAATTACAAAAATCTAATAAATACTTTAGAAAATAATGAAAAATAAATAATTTGTTAGATTTATTTTATTTTTTTCTCATGAAATAATGATTAATTGTTCATGAGACTTGCGTATAAGGAATATTTTTGATTAGTTATGAATTAAAATTAACATAATTTGTTCTTGGGTTAATTATATTTTTTCCTCGTATAATTTGATTTAAATTTTACTTTACCGTCTATAGTTTTATTTTGAACAATTTAGTCATTTTGTCAAAATTTCCTTTAATTTTTCTTACATGTATACACTTTAGAAAACTGACAAGTATTCTAAAATTGTTAATTTTAACTTCTAACTTAAATGAAATAACTAAATTAAAATATAAGGACTACCAAATTACTTAAATTAAAATAATATTAATCAAAGTGAAATTTGAATCCAACTACATGAAACAAAGTTTCTAATTCAGTAGTACAAATCAATGTATATATAATAAATATTTTTAATAATCATTTTTTAATGAGTAGTGTTACATTTTTATAATTTTTTTAAGAATTTCATCAAGAAATATGAATTTATAATCTAAATTTATTCAACCAACAAACTTTACAATGTACTAATTAAATCTCAACTATAAAATTTTGCTCTGACTATATTTTGAAACCTTATTTCTAGATTCCTAACCTTTTGGTTTTTTAATTGTGTAAATCATGTTAGTGTTTATTCATTGCATGTGTAAAAACCACAAAAGTATGGTGAATCTCGAGATAGTCATCATCATAAACAACAGCAAGAACTCCAACTTGAGTATGCAAGTGGGTGATGTTGGGTGATAACCAATGCTTTATATTTGAGTTGAATCCCTTTAAATGGATAAAAGGGTTGAAAAATCTTAAAAGAGAATCTAAATATAATTTCGAGTCTCCATGGTTTCAGTATTTGAAACATAAGTGATTTTTTATTGTCTATTTTAACTGAAATCACATTCTCAAACTAGATAAGTGATTTTTTATTGTCTATTTTACTTTGCTTATCAATTGCTTCATGTTTCTATGCTAATCAAACTCTTTATTTTAACTATTTATTTAAATATTATTAATTTTATACAATGTCACATCAGCAATAAAGATAGAAAGAAATGATCCTAATAATTAAATACATTTTACCTAACCTTTGAAGGCTAGTTACAAGTAGCTAGTGAATGTGAGTTGAGCTAAAATACTTAATCATATGCCTAATGCATTAGAGTTGAAAAAAGTATATTATGCTAGGCATTTTAACTAACAAGCATATATGTCTAGTGGATTGGAGATGTTCTAACAATGGAGTATTTGTAATGTTTTAAACCACGGGAGACAATCTCTATTTTAAGTAAATTTCAACAGGTATATTTGTAATTTATCCTTTTTTTTTTTCTATTCATATTAGTTATTATTATCATACTATTTTAATCGATCTCGTTCCCAATATCAAAGTTGTGATAATATAAGCAGCATGTCATGTGCAAAGATAAAAATTTATAAAATTTGTTAATATATATTTAATTAAATTTTCCTTTACGTACTTCACAATAGATGGAATAATAACCACATGTTATGTCAAATTAAAATAATAAGCTTTTATATAAGAATAATTCTATGTACCCTATTTTAGCTACCTTGAATTTGTCTTGAAAGAGATTGTGTAGTTGATATTGAATTTGTATAGTATAAGATTCATGTGTAGAATGAATTTAAATCACAAGATAATAATTTCAAATAATTAATTCTGATTATGTAATATTACTCTTCATATAATTGTGATGGATAGTAATCGTACTAGTTGAACCCCTCCCCGCAAATGGCCTCAAACCATGGTTGTCTCTATTATTTGAAGTTGGTCTCATCAAATGGAATCATTATTATTTAATACCTTTAATTAAGTTATTTTTCTCAGATAGACATTAAACGATAAAAGAGCTATTAGATTTATTTAAAATATGATACAACATGTGACTGGATATTAAAATATATGTATGTTTATAGGTTGATCTACACATTATTTTTTATTTTTTATTTTTACCTAAGCTATATGTCTTCATTTGGGGAAAAAGTACTTTATGAACCAGAAAATAATTTTAAAAAATACCTTAAAAATAAATTATGGATTGCATTCAAAGGAATTTGATTTAGAAATTTCATATTTTGAACACTTTTTTAAACACATTTTGGGTGATTCTTGCTTAGGACTAATATGGTTCGTTCCATTTTAGGTTGAAATATTATTCCTTTTATTTGATTATTTATTTATTTTACAAATTTAATTGGTTTTTTAGTTCTTCAAAAGTTGTTGTTGTTGTTGTTGTTTTTTTTTTTTTTCAAATTATTTTATTTGATTTTTGATTTTAGGTTCTCGAGGACTAGAGGGCCCTAAAAAAAGGAAAAAATTTGAGAAAAAACTAAAATAGAGGCTAAATTATACTAACCATTCCTAAGGTCTAAAATGAATACAATAAAGTCAACAAAACTAATCAAGTGGGATCAGTCAAATGTGTAACTCTTAAAATAAAAAAGGAAAAATTATAAATCAGTGATAATATGACAAAATATTTATAGATAGATGAAAAATTTTATGTCTTTAATTATTAATATTTATAAAGTTTACTATTGATTTGAATTTTTTTTTAAAAAAACATACACTGAATTCTAATTTTTTAAATTAAAAATAAACTAATTTTTTTTAAAAAAACTCAATATAATAGCCTGAAATCCAACGAGGCGTTCGTGTTGGAAGGTTTATTTAAGGATACCATGACAAGAGAGACTCACAGTAGAGCAAACATACTTCACTACCATCATGGCAAACTTTGCTAATCAACCATTGCTAGACTCTCCCAAGAGAAAACTCTCTTTCTGCAAATGTCTCTCTTTGGTTCTCTCTTTAGTTGCCATCATAACCCCAATCACCATACTCACCATCAAGCTTTTCAATGAAACCTCTTCTTCTTCCTCTAATTCTCTTTCTCTCTCAGCCACCCTTTGCCACCCTGCTCTTAACCAACCCTTATGCTCCGCCATGGTATCAGAACTTGCTCCACCTGAAATATTGATGAAAATGAACGGCCCAGATGTATTGCAGGCCTTCTTGAAGAAGTCTGCATCAGGCATACGAAAATCTATGGAGACAGCGAGCGATGTCCGCCGTCGGATCAATGACCCGAGAGAGCAAGCGGGTCTTGCTGATTGTCTGGAGTTGATGGAGCTGTCCATTGATAGAGTGATGGAGTCTGTGGTGGCAATTGAGAAAAGGACATCCAGGTCACATTCGGACGCCCATTCATGGCTCAGTGGTGTTCTCACCAACCATGTCACTTGCCTAGATGGGTTAACTGGGTCGGCCCGGTCCATGATGGAGCCTGAGCTCGAAGACATGGTGGCAAGAGCTAGAGCTTTCCTAGCCATGGTGGTTGCAGTATCACCACCAGAAGAAAATGAGGTGAGTGGGGGGACTTTAAAGTCTCACATCATATAAATCCATCATAAAATCAGATGCAATTTTTTTATATAAGATAAATCTTATTTATAGATTTCACGCTCATATAAGAAAATTGTCTTTAATTTTGTGATTAGTTTCTAGAGTCATATGTTTTTAACACATCTTATTTAAAAAATTTTATGAATAAAATATACTGATTCACATTTGTTATGTAACTGAAGATAAAAATAACATATTTGATGTGCCATATTTTTTATTAACTAAGAATACTAGGTAAACAGTACACTATTATGTTTGGAGAGTATCTAATATTTTCTTGTTTATTATTTAACATATAACGTGCCACCACTTTAAAAATAATCTACATGAACATGTAACCAATTAAATTAATACCATAATAATACATAAGATCGCAAACGATATATGATGGAAAAAATATGAAAGACGAAATAGTTCTGCAAACTAAAATTAAAAAAAGAAATTAATAAAACATTCCTAAGATCTATTATATTAAAAGATACATTATTTATGTTAAACAAAACTTGAATATCAAAACGCAATAATTTTGCATCTCAAAATGTAAAAGAAATATGGTTTAAATAAAAATTATAATGTAATGAAATTATTTGACAATGGGGTTCATTAATTTAATCTTGAAACTTTTGAGATCATAAAGACAATATATAATAATTTGAAAGATCATATTATCTCTACTTAATTGTCTATCTATCCACTATTTCACGTATTTGTCCACGTTATTTATACGTCCAATATCACTTATCTGTTCACGAATCATTAATTTATTTTTCACGTATCACCTATCTATGCACTTAATCTATCGTCTGTCCATATCACCAACATTGTAGGTTGTCACCACCCGTAGCCGACTACATCCAACGGTCCTATTATAGTTAGGCAATCCAACAACAGTGGATAAAAATGAAAAAATTATCCTTAAAAACAGTAATTCATCCTTTTCACGAAACAATTTCATTAATCATATCTTTATTTGGGCAGACCAGACTCCACTAAAGCGGTGACAGGGTCCCATCCACCTATCATCCTACAAAATACCCTTGATTTTTTTTTTAATAATAAAAATTTTATTTGATAATTAATTAATCCTATCAAAAAAAAAAAAAAAAAAAGCAAAGGACCCCATCTATTAGAAATTAGGGTAAATTACACTAACACCCCTGAGGTTTATTTTTATTATAGTTCCCCTCTCACCTTTTGAAAATTACATCTCCCCCAAAGTTTAAAGTTTCATTACAGATTCTCCCCCTTCAGCAGTTTAATTTTTTTAAATACCAATTTTGCACTCTTTGGGTAAATTACATTCACACCTCTCACATTTTACAAATTACAATCCCCTCCCCAAGGTTTAAAGTAGCATTACCAATTACCCCCTCGGTTAGTATTAGTTGGAAAAAAATTCATTGAAAAAAAAAATTAATTGGAAAAAAAATTAATTGAAAAAAGATTCTGTTAGTGAAATTTTTATTTAAAAACCAACGTAAACTCATTTTTTGAATTTATGTTTTTTTACTCAAATTTATAAATTGAGACAACCATTTACAAACCAAAAAAATTATCAAACAAGTTTTTATGACAATTTTTTAATTTTTTTGTAAATATAAATTGAAAGCTGAAAACGAAATGGTTACCAAACAGGCTTCAGATGGTAAAAATGTCATAAAATTAACAAATAATTAAATAAATTACCAACGTAAGAAATGACTTCTCAAAAGATTCTTAGGTTATGTATGGTTTGATTTTTAGATTTTTTTTTTAAATTAAAAATTAATTTGGTAAAGAAATAAAAAATAAAAAATAAAAAATAATTATCACTTAAGGGTAAAAAAATAATTAGGGTGTGTTTGGTAACGTTTACGTTTTCAGTTTATATTTACAAAAATTTTAAAAACTGTTTTTTGTTTATTTTTAGAAAAACATAAAATACAAACGCGTTTGGTAATTAACAAAATGTTTAAAAAATTTTAAAAATATAAAAAAGAATGAGAAATGACAAGTGGTGGCAAGTGGCGGCGGAAGACGGTGGAAGAAAATGGTGACGGTGGGTGGTGTGTAGCGGGTGGTGGTGGGTGGTGAGTGGCAGCGAGTGGGTGGTGGTGGTGGTGGTGGTTGGTGGGGGGTGACGGTGGCGGGTGTGTGGTAGCGAATGGTGGTGGCGGGTGGCGGGTGGTGGTGGCAAGCGGATGGCGGATGGCGGGTGGTGGCGGGTAGGTAGCGGGTGGTGGGTGGGGTGGGTGACGGTTGTCGGTTGGTAGGTGGTGCGAGTGGGGTAGTGGTGGTGGGTGTGGTGGCAGGTGGGTGGTGGAGTGGTGGTGGGTGATGGTGGTAGTAGTGGTGGTGGTGGCGGGTTGGTGCAGGTGGGTGAGTGGCGGGTGGTTGGTGAGTGGTGGTGGCAAGTGGTGGCGGGTGGAATGGCAGTGGGTGGTGGGTGGTGGCGGCGAGGGGTGGGGGTGGTGGCAGCGGTAGTGGTGGTGGCGGCGAGGGTGGGGGTGGCTGGTGGTGGTAGAAGTGGGTGGTGGCGGAAGGATGTCCGGTGTGAAAAATGGTGGCGGGTGGTGGCTAGTGTTGGGTGGTAAAAAAAAAAAAAACTGAAAACTCAAAATGGAAACACATTTTTTGTGTTTTCATTTTTTAGCCAAATTTATAAACTGAGACCACTAATTTATAAATCAAAATTTTTACCAAACAAGTTTTTATTTGAGTTTTTAAAATTTTTGTAAATATAAACAGAAAACTGAAAATGTAAGTGTTACCAAACGGCACCTTAGTATTTTAACTTTTGGGTAGGTTATATATATACGTATGGTTGTTTCAATTTAATTGGTAAAAATTTATTTCTAACCACTCGAAAGATAAAATTTTATATTTTTTATTTCTTAACCAAATTAATTTTTAATTTTAAAAAAAAATTCTAAAAATCAAACCATACATAGGCTAAAAATATTTTCATAAGTCATTTCTTATGTTGGTAACTTATTTAATTATTTGTTAATTTTACGACATTTTTACCATCTGAAGCTTGTTTGATAACCATTTCGTTTTCGGTTTTCAATTTTCAATTTATATTTACAAAAATTTAAAAAACTGTCATAAAAACTTGTTTGATAATTTTTTTAGTTTATAAATAGTTGTCTCAGTTTGTAAATTTGAGAAAAAAAAAGTAAATTCAAAAAATGAGCTTTCGTTAGTTTTTTAACAGAAATTTAAAAATTTTGCTAACAAATTTTTTTTTTCAAATAATTTTTTTTTCCAACTAATACTAACCGAGGGGGCAATTGGTAATGCTACTTTAAACCTTAGGGAGGGGATTGTAATTTCTAAAATGTAAGTGGTGTCAATATAAATTATAGTGAGGACAAAATTGGTATTAGAAAAAATTAAATTGTTAAGGGAGAATCTGTAATGAAACTTTAAACCTTAGAGGGGAGATGTAATTTCTAAAAGTGAGAGAATGAACTATAATAAATATAAACCTTAAGAGGCGTCAGTGTAATTTGCTCTAGAAATTAAGATCCGTTTGGAATTTAGTCCTTCTTTATTATATTTCTCTTCTCAACACTCAAACTAAGTGTGAGGTCAAGGGTTAAATATTTGCTTAATCACATATATAAAAAATGTACATATCTAATAATTATAAAATAAGGATACAAATTTATAAACTATAGGGAGGGGATTGTAATTTTTAAAATGTGAGTGGTATCAATGTAATTTACCTAGTGAGGACAAAATTGGTATTAAAAAAAATTAAATTGCTGAAGGGAGAATCTGTAATGAAATTTTAAACCTTAGGGAGAGATGTAATTTTTAAAAAGTGAGGGAAGGAATAATAAATATAAACTTTAAGAGGTGTCACCATAATTTATCCTAGAAATTAAGATCAGTTAGGAATTTAGTCCTTCTTTATTATATTTCTCTTCTCAACACTCAAACTAAGTGTGAGGTCAAGGGTTAAATATTTGCTTAATCACATATATCATTTCTTACGTTGGTAACTTATTTAATTATTTGTTAATTTTACGACATTTTTACCATCTGAAGCCTATTTGGTAACCATTTCGTTTTCAGTTTTCAATTTTCAATTTATATTTACAAAAATTTTAAAAACTGTCATAAAAACTTGTTTGATAATTTTTTTTTTGGTTTAGAAATGGTTGTCTCAGTTTGTAAATTTGAGAAAAAAAAAAGTAAATTCAAAAAATGAGCTTACGTTAGTTTTTAAACAGAAATTTAAAAATTTTACTAACAAATTTTTTTTTTCAAATAATTTTTTTTTCCAACTAATACTAACTGAGGGGGCAATTGGTAATACTACTTTAAACCTTAGGGAGGGAATTGTAATTTCTAAAATGTGAGTGGTGTCAATGTAATTTACCTAGTGAGGACAAAATTGGTATTAAAAAAAATTAAATTGCTGAGGGAGGAATCTATAATGAAACTTTAAACCTTAGAGGTAAGATGTAATTTCCAAAAAGTGAAAGAAGGAATTATAATAAATATAAACCTCAGGAGGTGTCAGTGTAATTTACCCTAAAAATTAAGATCCGTTAGGAATTTAGTCCTTCTTTATTATATTTCTCTTCTCAACACTCAAACTAAGTGTGAGAAGGGTTAAATATTTGCTTAATCACATATATAAAAAATGTACATATCTAATAATTATAAAATAAGAATACAAATTTATAATTATTTGAAATTAAAAAAGTACATTACACTCATCATTAGATAATATAACAGAACCTCTTCATTATAAATATGTAATGAAAATTATTATAATCCATAAAAAATGTTATGTTTGACACAATTAATAATAAAGTTATCATGTAGTAATTATAAAAACAAATTACATCTCCTCGAATGAGGGAGAGAAGAGAGAAGAGGGAATGGAGACACACACACAGAGGCCCCTGCATTCCGGCCGATTGTCCGATCGTCGCAGCTCCGCCGATCGTCGTAGCTTCGCCCGGCCGACGTCGCCTCCGCCTCTGCCTTCTTCCTCTGCCTCTGCCTTCTTCCCTTCTTCTTCTCTTCTTCTTTCTTTCTTCTTCTCTTCTTCTTCTCTTCCTCCGCGTCTGCTTCTTCTTCTCTGAAAAAAAAAAAAAATTCAAAAAACGTCGAAACGACGTCGTTTTTATTTTCGGGAGATTAGGGGGACGCTCTTTCGAGCTACGTAGCACGGCTCTTTTCAAAGTTACAAAGGGTCTCACATAATTTCTATTCTATTTTAATTTTTCAGGCGTCAAATAAGTTCGAACCTATGCATCTTATCGAGGAGTTTCCACGGTGGGTGACAGGCAAGGACCGGAAGCTTTTGGAGGCGGTGGCGGGGACTGTCAATGCCAATGTGGTGGTGGCGCAGGATGGGAGTGGGAACTACAAGACTGTGAATGAAGCTGTGGCCTCAGCACCAAACAATGGCAACACTCGTTACGTTATCTATGTCAAAAAGGGTACTTATAAAGAAAACGTTGTGATTGGGAGTAGTAAGACGAATGTTATGCTTACTGGTGATGGAATGGGTTTGACTATCATCACTGGTAGCTTGAATGTGGTTGATGGATCTACAACTTTCAATTCTGCAACTGTTGGTAAATTATCTTACTCTTTTGAATAAAAAAAAAATTATCTTACTCTTTAGATTAAAATTGTATAGAATAATATAATAGAATTATGGACTTGTTAAATTAGGATAAAATTTTATAAGGATGTTGGTTAATGATTTGTTTGCAAATTTTTAAAAGAATACTGTTTTTCCTTTTTAATAGTATATGGCTTATTTTTAAATTTTATACGGATATAATAAACACATAAATACATGTAAGATTATAATTAGAAAATAGTTTAAGGATTTCTGTATTCAAAATTTCTATCTACATATTGACAAGGGCATAATAAAAAAAAAAATTATGTCTAGGGGGCGATGATGTGTGCGAAATAAACATAACAGGTTTCTTTTAGTTTTTTTTTTTTTAATTATTATTATTATTATTGGAATTATTAAAAAAGTTAATAATAATAATAATAATAATAATAATAATAATAATAATAATAATAATAATAATAATAATAATAATAATAATAATAATAATAATAATAATAATAATAATAATAATAATAATAATAATAATAATAATAATAAAGGTTTGACCCTTGTAACAAAATAAATCACAAATTTTAATTCTGTCAATTTAAATATTGATCTTTTAATTTATTTTCAATCTAAACCATAATCCTATTTACGTAAAGTAAAACAGACTAAAAATTGGTATTTATCGTTAAATTCAATGTAAATATACATAAAATGTCTAAAATATTATTTTTCGTTGAATTTAGTAATGAGTAAAATGTGAAATAGTTAGAGATCATCTCATTATACATTATAAAAAAAAATTAACGAAAGAATGAGTTAGTAAAGATGATTTTCAAAAACTTTCGCACTTCTTATTTGCCATTTCTGTCATTTTAATAGATCGTTTAAAAAAAAAAAAAAAAAAACTATTTTCACAGACTTTGCATAGTCAGTATTCTATGGGCCTTAACAAGGTGGCTATTGATGATCCCAATACCTCAATGAATTGGGCCTAATCTGGGCCTACTGCAAGGCCCACAACTTGTAGGATTCTCTTTTAACTCTTTTTACATAATCTATGAATGTAGCTGCTGTTGGTACTGGATTCATAGCTCAAGATATCTGCATCCAAAACACGGCCGGGGCGGTGAAGCAGCAAGCAGTAGCGTTACGCGTCGGAGCTGATCAGTCTGTCATAAATCGTTGCCGGATTGATGCCTACCAAGACACTCTTTATGCCCACACTAACCGGCAATTTTATAGAGATAGTTATATTACTGGCACCGTGGACTTCATTTTTGGCAATGCCGCGGTTGTGTTCCAAAATTGCAAATTAGTGGCCCGATTGCCCATGAGTGGACAGTTTAATGCAGTTACGGCCCAAGGCCGAGTTGACCCAAACCAAAACACCGGGACTTCAATCCAAAGTTGCAATGTGATAGCTAGCTCGGACCTTGAGCCCGTTAAGGCCACTATAAAATCATATTTGGGTCGCCCATGGATGAACTACTCAAGGACTGTTTTCATGGAATCATACATTGAGGACCATATTGATCCTACAGGTTGGTCAATATGGAGTGGTAGTTTGTATCTGAACACATTGTATTATGGTGAGTACATGAACAACGGTCCGGGCGCTGGTACTGCAAAGCGCGTCACATGGTCGGGGTATCACGTCATCACTGATCCAGCGGTAGCGGCAAAGTTTACAGTGGCTCAGCTAATACAAGGAGGCGTGTGGTTGAAATCAACTGGAGTAGCCTATACTGAAGGCTTGTGAATTAGGCTTTTCCATTTCTTTTGTTAACTTGTCCTTTGTTCTCTTTTAAGTACTATGTTTCTTGGTTTTAAGAGACATTATCTACTGTTGTATGCTATCTTGGAATAATTTATATGGTCATTTTAGTGGCATGTTATAGTACAATCCAA